GATGACACAACACAACACATCATAGTACACCGTTAATGAACAACCTTGGATGACACAACACAACACATCATAGTACACCGTTAATGAACAACCTTGGATGACACAACACAACACATCATAGTACACCGTTAATGAACAACCTTTGATGACACAACACGACACGTAATAGTACACCGCTAATGAACAACAGTAGAAGACACACAAATTGACATATCATAGTACACCGTTAATGAATAACTATGGATGACACACAACGTGACACATCATAATACACCGTTAATGAATAACCTTGGATGACACACAACATGACACATCATAGTACATGACACACAACGTGGTACATTATAGTCCATCGTTAATGAACAACAACACGACGCATATTAGTAAACCGTTACTGAACAATCGTAGATGACATACACACAGACATTTGGTGTAGCGATGATTAGGCGCTTCGCTGTCAGTCGAACACAGGAGACCCAAGTTCGATTCCAGAGGAGGGAGAAAATTCAATTTTCAATGTATGCATATTATCATTGTTATGTTTACGATAATTTTTTAGGTCTACAATATGTGCATGTTTTAAAAGAAATTGAGCGTTTCTACTCGTTTTGACACGTAACAAGATTCTCAATTGTAAGCCTATCTGTGATACTGTAAAACATTGATTATGGTATTTGCGTCTATACTGTAGAAGTATAAAACACGAAACTATGATGGTAAATATTATATGAATTTTACGAAACAAAAGTAACGAGTATGAGACGTAAAGAAGTGGGCGAATATTGAAATAAATAAAGCACACAAAAATACGAGAGAAAACAGGAGTGGCAGACGTCTTCAAATTTATACTCCGACAAAACTTGAAATGGACGGGCCACATTGGCAGAGTGAATAAACAACAGATGAACAAAAAGACACCCTGAATGGAGACCGAGAAAGTGAAGAAAAGATCAAGAGGAAAACCAGAGAGAAAGTGGCTAGACAACACCAGAGAGAAGGTGGGTACAACCTGGACACAGAAAACAGCTGCTAGAACAGAGCGGAGGTTGTTCTTGGAGGATTACTACACCCTGCAGCCGACGGACATCTATCTATCTATCTATCTATCTATCTATCTATCTATCTATCTATCTGTCTGTCTGTCTGTCTGTCTGTCTGT